ATCCCTTCTCTTCCATTCTCCTCCTGGGATTTTGGGTGCACACACACATGCCCAGTGTGATTTTCAAGCTACAAGGTCTGAGACTCTGACTGTGGTTGGCCATGTGGGAGTCCAGCACCTTAAACTATGCCACCTGCTGGCCCTGCATCTCACCTCTTCAGATGGAATTCCAGAAAATAGTAATAGTCTAGTCAAGGCATTAAGATCCTATCTATTTCAATAAATTCATGTAGGGGGCCAGGTAGTGGCACAGTGGTGACGCAACTGGACCCACATGGGAAGGTCCTAGTTCCCGTCCTGGTTCCTCCCTGTAATATGGGGTGCGTGCACATGTGCCAGTGCCCCAGGCTGACTGAGGCTGGGGGAGGGCTGCAGTGTGAGGCCCTGGTGGAGTAACTCCATCCTCCCCCCACACACAGGAGAAATAAATACACTTGAAAAAGCTGTTTTAAAAATAAATTTGGGCCAGCAGGTGACATGGTGGTTAAGGTGCTAGATCCCACATGGCCAACTCCAGGGTTTGAGTTCCAGATCCGGCAGCTTAAAATAAACACGCTGAGGGCAAGCATACCCCAAATCCTGAGAGAAGAATGGAGGAGAAGGGATAGCAGCATGGCCGACCCGCTGGGGGGGATTTCTCACTTTTCTGCTCTCTCTTTCTGGCAAGTTCAAGTGCCCTGGAGCAAATTAAAACAAACCAACAAAAGAAGCCACGACCAGTCGTTTTGTTTCTGTTCTTGTTTCTTTGGCCCTGCCCTGCTGTCACCCGACAGACGATGTGAGGAGGAAGCGCGTACAGTGAGTCCTGGTGAATAAAGCGACTGTTGCTAGTTCCTGAACCAAACATTGGGGCGAGTGGCACACAGAAGGCTGCTGGACCCCCTACCTGTGCAGGATGCCGTGTAGGGGACATAACTGAGAACTCCTGGACTATACGCATCGTTTCAGAAAAGAGGGGACAGAATCTCCAGGACTCAGACTGTGCCTACAGGCCTTGGTGGTTCAGCTACCAGGCCCATGGCAGACCACCGCAGTGAGACAGGGAAGAAAAACAGACTCTGATGAGCTACATAAACCCACGTGGGGGCCCGAGCTGGCCTGGCCTGTGAGAGAGAATGAGCAGCTCCTTAACCTTAGCTGCGGACAAACTACCCAATTTCAAAGCCACTGGGAAACGGTCATACCTGTCCCTCTGCGTCTTTGATTTTCGTTTCCAAGATGAGCTTGGCGGCCTGCTGTTCTTTGTTCAGGTGCTGGAGCCCCTCGAAGGTGCTTTTGTGCTCTGCAGAGAGTCTGGCGATGCTGGCGTCACATCTGTCCAGGCAAACAATAAAGCCAATCCTTACTCAAGGTTACAAACAGGCACTAAGGCTTCCATCCATACTGTAAAATGCAAAACCCCACTCTAAGAAGCCCCCGGTCCATCACTCCTTTTTTTTTTTTTTTTTCTTTTGAGAGGTTTTTGCTCTAGAGCGCGTGCGCTTGCCAAACAGCTAGAGAAAGAGAGACAGAAAGCAAGAAATCACCCCCCAGGGGGATGGTCACACTGCAATTCCTTCTCCTCCATTCTCCTCTCGGGATCTTGGGCACGCATCCTCACGTGCCCGGCGTGAGTTTAAGCCACCGGGTCCAGGACGTGAACCGCAGTCGACTACATGGGAGTCCAGTGACATAGCCGTTAGGCTAACTGCTGGTCCCGATCCATCACTCTCTACCAGAGGTGGGAGTGCATTCAGAGAGCCGCCCCCACCGTGGTTCTGAAGCTCACCCACAGGGGTACTGCTCCAAAGTCTAGTGAGGTCGCCACCACCAAAGCCAAGTCCTTCCCAGGTGCCTGAGGACCCTGTGAGGCCCTGCAAGCCCAGCTACTGAGGCTCACCTAGTCTGGATGTGGTCAGCCGCTCTTCTGCACCGCCCCTGCCCTGTAAAGCCTGGAATGTGGGAGGCAAATTTTGCCACCTCTTAGTTCTAACCTGTTACCAGGTCGGCTGTAAGGCTGTGAGCTTTGGGTGGGGTCTGGAGCAGAGAGGGCTTCCAGCAGGCCCACGCTGGAGTGAAAGCTGCTCTGCCCCAGAGCTCTGCATCGTCCTGCTCAAAGTGTTGCAGGTACGCCGTGTACGAAGTCTCCATCAGGCCCTAACAAGGACAGTCCCAGAACGAACCCCTGGGAGTTTGGTGCAAAGTAATGAATGGCCTGCTCTGAGACGATCACGTCTCCTTTGAGAAGAAGCTGCAGACTTGCTACCCGGCTCTGGACGAGACCAAATCCCCAAGTGGAATATTAGGGGACCCTGCAACATGGGTGGTTCATCACGAATGTCATGCCATGACATGGGTACATGAACAGCACCCCATCTTCAAGGACAAGGGGCACATAGACATCAGGCTTGGGGCCAGCAGATGGCATAGCAGTTATGTCACTGGTCTCACACATGGCCACCCACGGTTTGAGTCCCAGACCTGGGGGCTTGAAACATACCAAGCACATGGGTCTGCGTGCCCAAAATCCCAGAAGAGAAGGGAAGAGAAGATTGCAGTGGCCATCCCCACTAGGAGGTGACTTCTCACTCTCCCTCTCACTGTCTCTGTCTCTCTCTCCAGCGAGTGCCCAGACCCCCACGGCATCTACGCCTGCTCTGCGCCCGTTCTCCTTCAACCCCCGCCATGGGTTCTCCAGCACCTCGGGCTCCCTGAGAGTTCTCGGCAGGTGGACTGGAAAAGTGCAGCCTGGTGTGCAGGCACTAAGACCCAGCATGCTAGCACCTTCTGGAAGGAGACCGCTGATGCTCACAGGTCCCCAGGAGCAGCTTTGTACCCATCGGACCTGTGGCGTTAGTGGTCTCCTTCCAGAAGGTGCTAATGGGTACAAAGGAAGGGAAAAAGTTGGCAGAACTTCAAACACTGTATCTGGGGTTCATTTTGCCAGGAGTAAGGGCTGGCCAGACCTTCGAGAGAAGTGAATGGTGAGAGACTTGGGGTGGGGGGGGATGCAAGGACTCTGGACAAGGGCAAGAGGCTATATAAATGGATTGCTCTTAACTGACAGCTTTGCTCTTTATACCACAGGGTCCAATCAAACCTATAATTCCCCAGACTCCCTTGCCAGAAGGGCTCTGAGTCAGTTCTGCCAGTGAGAGGCATATACGCCAGTCCTGGGAGAGGAGACACCCTTAACCTCCCGTCAGCAGTGGGCAGACACACAGGCAAACTGCAGACATGAAGTCTGCGGTCGCTTCTAGTACACTCCTACAAATTCCACATATCGGCAGCTGAGATCACCAATGGCTACTTTCTGCGACTCTTGCATGTCCGATTGTTTCGAAAACGAGTAGCAGATTTCGTTCACCTGGCTCTCCTAAATCTCCCGATAGTTTTGCAAGCTCCTATTTCTTACACTAAATCCCTTTCTGCTAAAATACTTAGAGTAGCATCTGCTTTTTTTTTTTTTTGGAAGTTTTTGCTATAGGGCGCGTGCACTCGCCAGAAAGACAGAGAGATATTCTGTCTTTCTCTCGGCATCTTGGGCACGCACACACGCCCAGCATGAGTTTAAGCCACCAGGTCTGGGACTCGAACCATGGTCGACTACATGGGAGTTCAGCGATGTGGCCATTATGCTAACTGCTGGTCCCTGTTTTCTTTCCTTTCCTTCTCTCTCTCTCTCTTTTTAGAGAGAAATTTTAGCTATATGGCACGTGCATTTGCCAAAGAGACAGAAAGCAAGAAATCGCCCCCTGTGGGATGGTCACACTACAATCCCTCCTCCTCCATTTTCCTCTCAGGATTTTGGGCACACACGCATATTATACCTGGCATGAGTTTTAAACTACTGGGTCTGGGACTCGAAGTGCATGGGAATCTGAACTATGTGGGAGTCCAGTGATGTAAGCATTACACCATCTGCTGGTCCCTCTTTTCTTTTCTTCTGATCATTGCCAACATTTATTATTATTATTATTATTATTATTATTATTACTACTTAGTTTGCTATAGGGCACACGTGCTTGCTAGAGAGAGGAAGAGAGAGGGAAAGTGAGAAATCACCCCCCAGGAGACGTCCATGCCGCAATCCCCTCTCTTCTACACTCTCCTCTTGGGATTTGGAGCACGCGTGCGCACGTCCCCTGCATGCTTTTCTTCTCTCTCTTTCTTCTTTTCTTTTTCTTTACTGGCACATATTGCATTCTGTGGCATTACTTCAAAAAGCACAAGTGTGAAAGCTCTCGGTGTGCTCTGCAAGGACGTTCTGAGTGCCCGGAAGAGGTCTGGATGTGGCCCTGGGCACCATTACGGAAGCACCAGAGCAAGAGTGAAATAGCAAGAACATCCCCGAGATTCAATGTACCTTTGCATCTGAGCGCGTCTGTTTTCTTGACTGAACTCCGATGCATAATCATTAAGATTTGCACAAAATATTATCCAACCATCTCTAGATTGTGTGTGATTTTCATTTTAGTTTTCATTCTTTTTAAAATTGTACAACTTTTCTACAATAAACATAGATGGTTTTTATAATCAGAAAAAAAAAATCCAACTACACCATGAGTCATGTACAAAGACTACGTTACAGGGCCAGCAGATGACACAATGATTACATCACTGGACGGCCACGTAGTCGTCTGCAGTTCGAGTCCAGGACCCAGCAAGTTAAAGAAACTCATGCTGGGCACATGTGTGGGTGTGCCCAAAATCCCGAGAGGAGAGTGGTGGAGAAGGGATT